ATATATATATATATATATATATATATATATATATATATATATATATATATATATATATATATATATATATATATATATATATATATATATATATATATATATATATATATATATATATATATATATATATATATATATATATATATATATATATATACATATATATTTATATTTATATTTATGTTTATATGTATTTTTATTATGCATGTATATATATATATATATATAATTAGACAGTTTAAGTACTGTTTGTGCTCACATATGCTTACCTCGGCGGGACTACTTATGTAGACTTGAACGATATGGAGTAGATATGTGGCTGCATACGCAATACCCACACCACTGCATTGTTTCTGAAAATGACCTGCAAGCCTTATACCTTATATGGCCGACAACAGTCACACAATTCTTAATCAAGTTCCTCATACGCTGTCGTTATGTCCTTATTTGTAGAGATTTGGCGCGCGTTGTGCCGATTATCTAGTGGATATGTTCAATGACGAAATCGACGATGTTCGGCTGGCGGCTATGCACTCATTGCGATTGGTATGTGAGCGTTATATATCTGTGGCATTTTTTCTGATTTACTTATTCTGTACTGTTCCGATGAGATCGGAACAATTGTCACTTTCCGGTAGCCTTGGGAAACTTCTGCGTTTTATCAATAAGTTCAGACTATTTCTATTAATATATATATATTATACAAACATATATATATATATATATATATATATATATGGCACAGATGATCTCATAACACCTCACTCTCTCAATCATCTGTCATCACAAACACATGGCACAGATGATCTCATACACTCAGTTCAACAGTGAGCATGTTGACATCATGTTGGGATCGCTGCATGAAGACAACGTGCTAGTCCGCAATGCAGTGCTAAGGTGTGTTCGTGTGCGTGGATCTATTTTCCGTCCGTGCTTTTGTGGGAATGTGTGACAGGGAGAGGGGGGTGTAGGGGGTGGGAGGGGGGGTCTACAAGGATGCCTTTTTGGCTTCTTTGGAGCCTGAGGCGTTTAGCGGAGACGGGGGGTGCGCTAACCATTTAGCCTATAAATCTGGCTAATCAGCTGTGTTGAGCTTTGTTTTGAAAGAGTCTCAAATGTGGGCTTTAGGTGAGAGTCCAAAGTTGTATGTCAGGGACAGCTTTTTCGGACTTTAGTTTAGCGCCGAACAGGATCAATATTCTCCTTGAGCTGTTGTGTACCGTGGTGTCGTGTCGTGTCGTGCGGTGTCGTGTCGTGTCGTGCGGTGTCGTGTCGTGTCGTGTCGTGTCGTGTCGTGCCGTCTCTGTTATATAAGTACTGTGTGCTATCTCCTGATTTCAGTGCAATTGCCAATAACTGGACAGTTGCTAGTTACATCATTGTCCCTTCGGACACATAATTTCACCTATGGGCCTATCATGCACCCGTACTCGTGTATCACCAGGTATTACAACCCTACTATGCGACTATAGTCCACTCTCACATATCCCATTCCTTTGTCATTCTTATTCTTTTCACTGTTCCATAATAGACTTTTAGACTGTTCTGACATTCGACTATAGTCCACTCTCACATTTCCCGTTCATTTGTCATTCCTATTCTTTTCACTGTCCCAAAATAGAGACTTCTAGACGTCTTGACGTTCGACTATAGTTCACTCTCACATATCCCACTCACGAATTATTCCAATTCTCTTTTTATGTCTTAAAAAACAAAACGACTTTTGGGCGATATGAGGTTTGCCGACGTTTCCGGTCTGCGCACTGTAGCGTTGGCTCTGATTGACATTATCATCAAATACCCCGAGACACACATGCCTGTGTGGGGGGCCATGCAGGGCTTAGCCCACACACACCCAGTACTCACCGAATTCATCGCTCAGGTATCGGATATATATATATATATATATATATATATGTGTGTGT